GAAACAAATTTGACTTTACAACTATTTCTAGAGATTATCTCAGAAACTGTTCAGTTTATCATTATGGAACTTTGTAAACATATCAACCTATTATAAAAATCTGATTAAAACACAGATCCTATTTCATTTCGTTTTTTATAATTCAAAATTTCGTTTTACTTGTCTTTACTACACTAGGATCTGGAAGAGTTGTTATCATTGACATGCTGATTGGTTAATGAAATGTCTGACATCATAAGGTTAAAAAAAGCTTGTATGACCTCCAACGCGACCTCCCAAGACAACTGGTCAGATCTTCATGTAGTGGAGGCCATCGAAAGTATAAAAAACGAAACGAAATATAGATCTGTAATTTAATGAGATTGCCTATCATAATAGTTGTGCCGTTTGCTAATTAGAAAATACCCAGGTGTTATCATCAAACACTCATTACTGGTAAGGTTTTCCATTATGCACTCATTATTATCTGTGTCTTTTATTTAGGTAAAAACATATTGTATTGAATTTTCAGTCTGATGTGTGATATCGATTAGTGATGGAGCAAGTTCTACATGATAAAATTGTCATTTCGAAATATTAAGCAGAAGTGTGTTGTTTACTAATATAAGTTTTGTTATTGGCTGTCACTTGTGGAAGAAAAAATCAGTTACATCTAACTGCAGACCTATATTTGAAAATATAGGCTGAAATCCAAATCAATGAGGCGATTGTCCTTTTAATCTAGCAAATGAATGTGGTCGTTTTTTTATCTGAGAAATTGATTTGATTTGTCAATATTTGTACAGTCAGCTATATATACGTACATATAATATGGACTTCAGATTCTATCAAAGTTTATAAAATAATTTTAGACCAGAATCAGGATTTATTGATTTTTGATAATACTAATCAGCAAAATAAATGTCAGTACGATTTCAAAATCAGAGAGGCACTTTAATCAAATCATTCTAGAAAACCACTTACTAAATGGATCAAAGAAATATTTTGTGAACAGTATTTTGACACATTAGTGATTAATTCATCACAATTCCAAGACATTCGGTACACAGTCTATACATCAGTATCTGGTGTGTCCACCGTCAGTGTCAATAACAGATGACATGCGAAATGTGGTATGACATGGGGTTTGAGAGCTTGATCGATGTAGCGGACTGCTGTGAATACGCCTCCTCTCCCTGGACTAAGATTTTGGAACACCACAGGACCCACACTCTGGTTCAGGCCGATTCAACCCAAAACCATTATGCTTGGACCTCCCCATGAGTCTCGTTCCATGGCACATTGGTCAGAAAGAAGCTTGCCATCTGCAGTTGATACGCAATACCGACTCTCATCTGTGAACAGAAGAGTTCTCCATTCCCTGCGTCGCCAGTTCTGGTGTTGTTGGGCAAACTGTAGACTTCACTTCGATGGCGAGGGGTGAGGATCGGTCCACAGTAAGGTCTACAGCAATGGATGAAATGTTGGCGCACTGTATCGGTACTGATGGGTCTTCCATATGTTCACTCTGTCTGACATGCTGTCTCAGATGCCTGTGTGAAGTGATTCTGCCTGTGCTGTCGCACAACATGGCAGTCTTGTCGCTTTGTGGTAACCCTTGGTCTACCAGTTCGGGGACGATCATCCGTGGTGTTTGTGACCCGAACATTGACCTGGAAGTGATTGGCAACGGCTTGGGCTGTGTGGCCAACGTCGAGTTTTCTAAGCGCCTGGTTCCTGTGAGCTGTTGTGAATCGTGGCATGCTGCTGACGTTGTCGTGTTAATGATGATTCAACCAGGTATGGGGGTGCATTTTATAGGGCTGGTCCCGGTGAACAGCACATGCAGCATGAGTTACATGAAAATCATGGAGAACACATTACCATCTCAGAAGTCAGGTTACATTTTTGAGAACATTTCCTGGGTTCAATTCTATGTTTGGGAAGGTGCCTTATTGCTCCATCAGGATTTATTTACACGACAGTGGAAACCTAGCATAAGATTTGTAAAACCTTGAGAATTTCTTAGTATGAGTGGAAATGAAATGAAATGGGGTTTAACATAGAAAATCTTGAGAATTTCTTAGTATAAATGAATGAAATGGGGTATAACATAGTATGGACATTTGATTTGAAATTCCTTTATGTTCATGTGGAATGGTGTAATTTGGTTGTATGTATTTCAGCATAGAGTCTTTTATTACAAATTTTGATGAAACATATTCCAGTATATTTACAAAATGGGCTTCCTGTTAATTTCTTACATGTTCATAAACTACAGTAAAATAATTATCCATAACCCAGAAGTTCCATATTATATTATTATTCTGATGTAGATGTTTTCACGGTAACATGTACTGCGTAGCCACTACAGTTTATAAATGGGATTTATATTTTCAGATTTGCAAGGTCATTGGTCACGATTTTTATTGTTTTCAACTTTTATTAACTAATAATCAAAATCATGTTTTATTATTTAATAATACAACAAACAAATAAGTTTCCAAAAGATGGTTGTATTTTCAAACCTTTATAGAAAAGGCGTGAAATTGTCATGTGATTAGGCCAACATTGTCAAAGACAGGAAGCTATATCATCACAAGATTATAGGTGCCTATAAAATTAGGGATTTATATTGTAATGAACATAATAACTCATAATATCGATCATCCTTTATTCTATAATCATAAAAGAAATAATTAAGTTCTCAATAGATGATGTGTATTTTTGACTCGGTAGGAAGCGTGACCCAATTATTAATTCAATAAACATTGTGTGATTCCTGAGATAAAAGAGTATCATGACATTTGAGGCATTTTAATGGGTAATATTTTTATATCCGTGACAAATCAAAACCAATTTTGCCGAACAATGAAAACTAAGACAAACTAACCTGGTCAACTTTATAGATCTTGATAGACTTTGTGCCAAATGGGGGGCCACGGTGGCTAAGTTGGTAAGACGCTGGCTCGCTAGCCTGGAGGTTGGGTCTTCGATCCCTGCACTGGCCGAGAAAGTTCATCCAGATTTTCAGGAGTTGTTCCCCCTTGTCAGTGATGCAGAACGGAGGGCCTGACAAGGACAGCTGTTTAGTCGTTTGGGTGGGACGAAAAACCTGTCTTCATTATCCCAGTTCGGAGCGGAATAGTAGTATGTTAAACCCCATTTCATTTCTTGTGCCAAATGCCAGAATATTATGTCTGACCGAAAATTTGAAATGTCAGGCAGAATGGTCATCCTGTCTGAGATGGTGTTGGACACACATTTGAAAGTTATTTCCAGGCCTGCATATAGTACTTGATATACTGCAGTCAGTATAATAATTAATGAAGGAATTTAACCACAGTCATTATATCTATATAAGCTGATTAATTTCTAATTCTTATCTCAATCCTGGAATTTGTTGAGAAGCTTAATTAAAAACTCCCTGTTTAATTGATATAGCTCATTAGGATAATGAGTTTACCTGATAAAATCATTGGTTTAGAAAGTAGACAATACAGAGAGGATATACAAGCTTAATGATCAGAACAAATAACACAGACTTACTACTCCAACAAAGACTTAAGACAATCCAAAATTTCTCCACAGTAAAAAGATGGTCCAGTTACATTAGAGGTTTGTTTCTGTGCATGTGGGGGGATTGGATGGCCGAATGGTTAGCACGTGCGCGCTGTATCATAAAGCCTGTCATTGAGTCAACTGGCGTGGTTTCGAATCCCCGGTTGTACGTGACAAGGAGTAGGAAAGCCTGTCCAACCTCGTGGGTTTTCTCCAGGTCCTCCAAGCGCAAGCGAATTATAGAAATAAAATTTAACCATATGTTCGTCCCAAAATGACCTAGTTTGTGTTGAGTGGACGTTAAACCCCATTTCTCTCTCTCTTTCTGTACATGTGCCGGTTTAATTCTGTAGAATAAAAAAGGATTTGTGAAATTTATGTCAAATCCTTAGTAAATAGCTTGCACAACTTTGAGTGTGCAAGGAGCCAACAGGGGAGAAAAGAGGCCACATATATTGTGATAAAATCAAATTGAAATATAATAATACTTGTAATAAGCTGGTAATATGATTCTAAAATTTGTGATCCGAGGTCACCTGAAATTATTTCATCTTGGTTTGGCACATCCAATAAATTGTTGCTGGTTTCAAAATCAGTGTAGGCATTATTACTTTTATTCACAGTGCAGAAAAGTAGGATGTTATTGTTAAGCTCCATTTCTTTTCACATTCCATATTGATGTAAATGTCATTGTCACGTATATGTGTGAAACCACTAGTTAGTTATACAGTCACTGTAAATCTGACATCTAAAGGTGATAATAATTATTTTCTTGACTCGGATCAACTGAGGTAAATGGTCAAGACAACCAGGTTAATGGGCATGGTATCTTTATTTGAATGAGTTGTGTGCTCTCATTTTAAATGTCAAGCAACAGGTCCTAGTAGGTTTTTTTTTTGTTGTGGTATGTTCACCTTCAGATTAAAGTGGGTCTTAACCATCACTGAAATTAAAAAGAAAATAAATTTAATTTTCTTCTCGGTTTCTGACTTATCTGTAGAACAGTCTTTTCATCAAATTTTAATAAATACTCCATTAGAAATATTATTTTATATTCCCAGTTTTCCTCCAATGTTTGTGTTTCAAAATGAAATCAAATGAAATTCTCATATTTGGAAATGTACATAATGAGCAGAGTTATGCAGTTTGTTAAATGTTCCTTGACAGACCTTATAATATATTACTTTTGTTATAAACATCTTGTCAGCTTTTTTTTTTCTGAGAATGTAAAATTGCTTAACTAAACATTTTGGTTTTGTCAATTTTTAATAATTTCTTTTCATATTAAAAACTAACTAAAAAGTCATTATTCCAGTATTGTGTCCTAATGCTAATCTTCTTTACAATTGATATATTCTCATATCATAGCAGATAAATAAAATTGTCAAGATTTCAATGGGGATACTCCACTTTAAGGAATGGAGGTGGATCAAGACAACAAAGAAGTTTCCTTATGTCTAAAAATAGGTCAACGGTAAGATTTGTTTGTATTCAGGTGTATTTTGGGTTTGAAGGGGACGATGTAATTCCCTTGAGGGCACGTAGATAATAACCAGCTGCCATTGTTCTTTGATCAGTTTGTAAATACTGGTGTTAAATAGTACAAGAGGCTTCAGGAGTAGTGGAGGTAGCCATTTTATCTTGTGTACAGTTAATAGACAGAGCTCTGGATTATATATTTAATACTGTTTGTGTAGTTATTGTGGTAAGTAATTGAATATTTTGGATACTTATTGAAGGACGTTTTAGTGGACTTGAGGTAGGATAATAACACTGAATACAAGTCATATCTCTATAAATCATGTCAACTTTCTGTTGGTTTTATTTTATTTTTTTTTCAAGCTCAAATTAAATATGTAAGGCCATGTTTTACTTTAGTTTTGTTAATAGAGTTACTCATGGTGAGATGAAAAACGTTATTCTTAATTATCAAGAGACTGAAATTGCTCAGAGAGCATGTATGTTACATGTATGTTCATGATTCATGTAAGTGATCAAACATGATCTATAATAAATTAAAATTTAAACCTTATCCTGCACTAGTCAACCTTTTCGTGATCATATCTGTGTATGTACTAGCATATTTCAATAATATATTTTATCGACTGAGTAATAATGGAAGGTTTTTTTTCTGTGTGGATGAGTAATAATATATTGTCTATGATCAAACACCTATGACAGGTATTCAGTTCAAGTGTAGTGAGGATAAACTATAAATTGTATAATATCTAATACCATTCTGCGTACAGAGATCCATCTTCTTCATACTTCGAGAATAGATCTCTGCTCTGAATGGCGCCATATCCAAAAAAATAGTATACTATTTTGTAATGCTGTCCAACCCGTTTTGCATCTGCCATACACACAAAGAACAAATAAACCTTTTCAATTTTATTGAGAGAGAGAGAGAGAGAAATGGGGTTTAACATCCACTCGACCCAAACTAGGTCATTTCGGGACTAACATGGTTTAATTTTTTTTCAATAATTCGCTTGCGCATAGGGGTCTTTAGCAGTTGGAGGAAACCGGAGGACCTGGAGAAAACCCACGAGGTTGGACAGGCGACCCTACTCCTTGTCACGTACAACCGGGGATTCGAAATCACGCCAGTCGACTCAATGACAGACTTTATGATACAGCGTGTGCACGCTAACCATTGAGCCATCCACCCCCCCACCCCCCCCTCCCAATTTTATTGAATGGATGCGGAATGAATACTTCTCAAAATATACATAGACATAGTGTTTTTTCGACTAAAATCGTTGATTTAGGACTTAAAATGTCGGTCAACTGTTCTCAAGCGGAGGTAACTGTAGACAGGCAGCCTAAGTTTAGTATGATCTAATACTGGTAAATTATCAAATTTATTACACATTTGATGGTTTCTAATTAATTATAATTAATTATATTGCATATTAGCAGGATACTCGGCTTTGCCCAGGGCCCAAATTAAACTGAGTTTTGGACTTAAACATTCACAGGGTCATTCTGGTTTATTTGATAGCACATATGTGGGGGTGGATTGCGGCAATGAAGCGTGATGGATGAACATTCATACACACACAGACATCTGTGATTTTATGTATATAGATTTTTGTTTCCTGTGATTCAAATCAGATGTCTGTGAAATGAAATGAAATGGGGTTCAATGTCCTACTGTTCTGCTCCGACTGGGATAATGAAGACAGGCATACATCATACAGTGTGCTATAACTATGAGTGAGGGAAATTTTGTCAGGACAGCAGCACTATTTTCTACTCTTATATCGAATTTAAGGTGTACGCCAATGTATACACAGGACCTCGTTTTTTTTTGTCCCATCTGAATGACTAGACAGGTGTCCTTGTCAGGTCCTCCGTCCTGATTGGTCTCTGTACTTTAGTTAAAATCTAACATATTTTTTTTGTAAAGGATGTTGGGATCATGTTTAGAATAAAACTAGTATTCAGATGTCAAATTTTATCTTGTGATGAAAATCCAATGTCTATTATGTTTCACTATATTTTCAATGAAGGAATGCATTAAAATCTGATATGGTTTTTTATAAAGAATGTTTAGAACATGTGTCAAAAAGACCTATAGAAATTATATAGTGATATTATTAACTGTATTATATATGTCAGCTATTAGAATAGAAAAAAAGGCGTGTCTCCTGTTCTATTGAAATAATTCATGACATATACTTTATCATAGAATATATCAAAAATCAATAAACTTAACAAACTGTCAAGTTTCAGTTAATGAATTATGGAAGCTCTGGTTGTAGTCATAGGTCAAATGTAGATCTGTAGAAAGCTGATCTGCATAAGTCTCTATACCAGGTTATTCCTGAAGTAAAAAATGTTAAAAAAAAAAATATGTACATGTACTCCACACAAAAACAGAACATACGTATGTTCTGTTTTTGTGAGGGGGGTTGGATGGCTGAATGGTTAGCATGTGCGTGCTGTATCATAAAGTCTGTCATTGAGTCTACTGGTGTGGTTTCGAATCCCCAGTTGTACGTGACAAGGAGTAGGGTCGCCTGTCCAACCTCGTGGATTTCCTCCGGGTCCTCTGGTTTCCTTCCACTACTAAAGACCCCTACGCGCAAGTGAATTATTAAAATAAAATTGAACCATGTGTTAGTCCCGAAATGACCTAGTTTGTGTCGAGTGGAAGTTAAACCCCATTTCTCTCTCTCTCTCTCTCTCTCTCTGTTTTTGTGTGGAGTTAATACAACTGGTTTCTAAATCAATGTGCATATTCAACAATTAGTGGGATAAAAGAATGAAATGAAATGTAATTTAATGTCCTACTGTTCAGCTCCAACTGGGCTAATGAAGAAGGGCATATGCCATAAAGTGTGCTATGAGAGAAATTTTGCCCGGACAGCTTCTCTACAGCCTACTCTTATTTTAAATTCCAACCCTGAAGGGTTCTTTTACACAGAACCTCAGTTTCCATCCCATTCGAACGACTATATGCTGTCCCTTTGCAGGCCCTCTGTCCTACACCTCTGACAAGGGGTATAAAAGAATGGTTAATGACAATAAAATTATGCTGCCTTGCATAGACATGCTGCTACTTAGGGAGTTTGTCATAGATACATTTACATGAAATTAAATCAATTAAGTTAATCTATTTTCTAAAGTCTGTTTAATCTCTATTATACAATAAATATTAATTAACATAGGTGATGAAATCTATTTTTAGATCTTGTGCAATAGAAGATCTTCTGTTTTTCTAAGAAATTCCTCAGGCTACAGGTACATGTTTACCTGATATGCATGAATAATCATACCTATATGATCTCAGTTGAACCTGTCTTAATGTAGGTAATTAATCAACTTGTTGCTTATCTCACGACTATTTCTAGTTTATCATTGACATATTATTAAACATTACATGAAAATATTACCTGAGGTGTTAAATCAGGTCAACTATTCTAGTCAGGGTAAAGTTATTTTAACACCCAACTTAAAAGTACATTTATGGATCTAGTTGGGCGCATTTTTTTTTTGAGAAAAGTGAAAAAAGGTGTGAAAGATATTCTGAATTCAGGTATCGGTGTGTTGCCGTGAATGGGCTGTGTGGAATTGAGCCTGACTTTAATTTAAAACTATCTGAGCAAAATGTCTCTGAGTGTTAGAACGGTTGGTTAAGTGGGTAAGATGGTGGCTCGCTAGCTTAGAGGTTGGGTGTTCAATCCCTGCATTGACCAAGAAAGTTTGTCCAGATTTTCTGGTGTGGTTCCCCCTTGTCAGTGATGCACGTCGGGGGGGGGGGGGGGGGGCAACAAGGAAAGCTGTCTAGTCGTTTGGATGGTACGAAAAACCATTGGCATGCATGTAAAAGATCCATTGACAATTGGAATTCCATATAAAAGTAGGCCGTAATGCCGCTGTCCGGGCAAAATTACCCTCATAATACACTGTATGGCGTATGCCCGTCTTCATTAGCCCAGTTCGGAGCAGAACTGTAGGACGTTAAACCCCCATTTTATTTCATTTCGTTAAACCCCCATTTTATTTCATTTTATTTCTTTGTGAAGCACCTGATTCAACATCATTTATTTTGTATGTATTTAAATTCTATTAGAACATTTTGTTTCTCCACATGTTTTCAATGAATAAGTTACCATAACCTTTTATTTTGTGATCAGAAGACATTGATACAGTGATTCAGCCCATAACAACAGACAACATGTAGGCCATATTGTTTCTATTAAATGGGTTTACTGCCCGACCTGACAGACTAACCTTCTAAGCTTTCTAACAGACATTAGGAGGAGAGAGATTCCGTGCTTCCAGATGGTCTAATGGAGGTAATCTAACTATTGTTGGCCTCCATTTATCATTTATAATTGGAGGAGCCTGGAACTATTCTTACAGACTGTCGGTGGTTCCTGACATCTCTCTCTCTGTCACGCATGATTTTGTATTTAATGGCTACAGGAGCCAGGAAGGAAGATTGGCTCTAATAGAAACACGAGTCTGAACTCTCTGCTACTAAGACAAGTGGTATTACTGTCAGGATTAGTCAGAGTTAACCTGTCTGTACTAAAGATTAAGAGCTTAGTTTGTGGAGAACCTAATGTGTCTATTGTGGGTATTATTAGGGATGTTCTATTGAGGGTATTATTATCAGGGATGTTTTGTTTAATTCTATCAGGAGTTAAGTTAGGTTGGTACAAGGGGTGTGAAGATTAATTCTATCAAGAGTTAGGTTAGGTTGGTACAAGAGGTGTAAAGATTAGTGTCAGAATACAAATACCAAAGAGTTACCTGGGATTACTCTTATTAAGTCAAGGTATGTCTATCAACCATGAACTTATGTTTTTACTTTAATCATTTTTATTAGACACAATTATTGACTTAACTACACCATCTGTTTTGTTTTTGCTTTCTAAAATTGACAGGAAAGTCTGGTAATTTTATTTGCTACTGTGGATAATTTAACATGGATTGCAAAGGATTGAGTTTACTGAATAAAGAAAAATAGTTTGGACTGTTTTCTACTTGTTTTACAATCAGGTACAAATGATTCTAGTATAGTTTTTACCTGGGATTTAAACAGAAAATATTTCTAAATGGGAGACAGATCTGAATACATAATTTATTTGGTAAAGTGATAATGTTTAAAAGTCGTAAGTCGTAAGATGGCAAGGATCGAGTTTACTGAATATAAAAAAAAATAGTTTGGAATGTTGTCTACTTAATTCT